ACCTGCACATTTCCCAGAGTCACTACCCTTGATAGCAGCAGCTCAGTGATTGTGTTGGCTACTTGGATCACAGCAGCCCCCACAGTAGATTTACCCACTCCAAATGATTCCTGACTGACTGGTAGCTGTCTGGCATTGCAAGCTTCCAGAGGGCTATCACCACTCACTTCTCAACTGTGAGGGCTGCTCTTATCTTGGTATTCTTGCACTTCAGGGCAGGGGAAAGCAAGTCACAAAGTTCCATGAAAGTGCCCTTATGCATGCAAAAGTTTCGCAACCACTGGAAATCATCCCAGACCTCCAAGACTATGCGGTCCCACCAGTCTGTGCTTGTTTCCCAGGCCTAGAATCAGCGTTCCACAGCATGAACCTGCCCCATTACCACCATGATATCCCCATTGCCAGGGCCCGTGCTTTGAGAGAAGTCTGTGTCCATGTCCTCATCACTATAATGATCACGCTGTCGTCACCTCCACTCCTGCTTTTGCAGGTTCTGCACATACTACAGGATAATGCACGAGGTGTTTACAATGCTCACAACAGCAGTGGTGAGCTGAGCAGACTCCACGCTGCCGTGGTATGGTGTCTGCAGGAGAGCAGAGTTGCAGTGGAAGCGGTAGATGACAACGGATGCCACAGAACGACAAGAGGACCTGCGAGCTAGATTCATGGCACCAACCAGGAGAGCAGAGTTGCACTGGAAGCAGTGGATGATGATGGTTAGCAGTCCTACTGCACCGTCTACTGACAGCAGTATGGTGTCTGCACAGAAAAAAGGCGTGAAACGATTGTCTGCCATTGCTTTCACGGAGGGAGGGGCGACTGATGACATGTACCCAAAACCACCCGTGACAATGTTTTTGCCCCATCAGGCATTGGGAGTTCAACCCAGAATTCCAATGGGCAGTGGAGACTGTGGGAACTGTGTAAGGAGGTGGGGATGGCAGATACAGCACTCGGTATCTGATTGACTACACCTGTTGGATGGTTTAAATTTCTTCAAACCCCTCCATCATACACTCAGTGTGCCAACGGAATTTAGCACAAAAATAGTGTAGAAAATAATTACTTTTTGCCTCCGGTCCATGTTTTAAAGAGAGACAGACTTGATTAGGAGAATGTGGACACCTCTGAACACAGACTTCTAGTCAAGATAAATCTTTTACTATTAGTTCCCCACTTATGGGATAAAGTCCATAAAACAATACTACTTGTAATGATGTTGCAGCTCTGCAAATGCTGACACTGTGACATGACATTACTCATGAAAATACCACTTTCTGTGGCCTATGTCTCATAAAATGACCTCATGGTCCAGTGTGTATGCAAATATTTAAGGATACAAACCCAGTAGCTGCTATGGGATATTTTGCACCATTGCTGAAAGACCTCATCCTATTATTTTAATTGGGTATCTGACAATGTAAGAAATAATAGAGGTATGAAGTGACTCAACAAGCATTTTATTTTCTATTATAAAGTCAGAAATCAGCACTGAACTCACATATTTTTAAGGTTGTATAGAACTGTAGTTGTTTTTCTCTCCATTTCTACATCTACTTTTGCATAGTTCCAAGAAATGCTACTTGAAGCCATAGAAGATTAAAGTAATATTGTATTGAATAGCTGAGCTATTCAAATCTTAATAATGATGTAAGGTGCTGATCCAGCAAAGCACAAAAGCAGGTTCTTAACTATAAGCATGTACTTAAATGTTTTTGGATTGGGGCCAAAATGATGATAGGGCTTTGCTATTAAAATGTAGGAGTTAAAAGGCTGGCTCTAGTGTAGTCAATGACAAATCTCTTATTAACTTCAAGGGAGCCTGAATTTCAACCATGACCATTACTCAATTATCCTAAAAGCTATCTAATTAGTGCTTTCTTTCGGTCATGCTTTTAAAAGAGAAGAAAAAGTCACTCTGTATGTATGGTGATAGGACCCGATTTATGCTTGGTCTAATTCCATTGATTTCAATGGAGTTACACAAGGGCTGCATTTGACCCTCTGCACTTTAAGCATTTGTTAAAAGGAAAAATAAATCTAGAGAAAACAGCAGAATTATATTTGATCACAATATTAGAAAAATGTGACCATGCAAAAAAGTATGAGCTATAAACAGTAGCCCATGGTATTGCTAAAGGAAGCTGAAAATGTTAGGCTGAATCTTTAGCTGGTGTAAATCAGCATAGCTCCATTTACACTTCCTGAAAATCTGGTCCATTATCCTTAACTCAGCAGAATCCCACTTGTTTCACTTCCAGACACATTGAAACTTGTTTTCTAGGCATTTTACAGATATAATTGTTTCTAATCCTCACACAGTACAATTTCTACAGGAAGTTTACATGGAGAAAGATCATGGGAGCCCAGTATTCTACAAGGGACACAATACAAGGTTCACATTTGTTTCACTAAAAGGAAGAGGTCACCAGTTTTCTGAGAAAATATTTATCTGTAACTGAAAGGTCAAATGAAATACAAAGAACAGTTAGAATAGCTGTCTATGGAATGAGTACCACTGTAATATCCAAACAAGGAAATTAATATATAATTGACCCCCATCCACAACAAGTCTCAACACTCAAATATACTGTTCAGTCCATGGTGACTTATGAAGTCAACCCTTGTAATATTTTATTTTCAGAAATCACCATTACTGTAACATGTGTCACTTGATGTAGGGAATTTCCAAACTTATGATTACTATTAATTACACTATGGGAATATTTAAACCTTTCCTTTTTGCTCCTCATTCCAGTTTCTCCCAACTCCTTTTATACAATCCAAATAGTAAATATAGGCATACTTTAAAAAAAAAACTCTGAATATTTTATATATGTTATTTTGTATGTTTAACCCCATTGAAGTTTAAAGGGAAAAATTCAATCCCTTTTTCCTCCTAAAGCTAAAAAAAGATAAATTCACAAATCTCTCCTTAGGTCAGTCTAAATATTTTCAGTTGATTCTCGTGTCAATGATAGACCAGAAAAACTTTTAGTTCCAATGCAGTAAAAAAGTACAAGTACTTTAAAGGGTATCTTTGAAAAGAGTACGTTTACTGTGCACCAAACTAACCATGTAGTAAACTACAGTGGGACCCCTGTAACTTCTTTGGCAATTAGTCCAGCATTCCTTCAGCATGAATGCCTTCCATTTAGTTCAATGGGAGCTTAAGGTCCACAAAAGTGCAGGATAGAGTTGAAAGAGTCCTCTTCAACTCCCATTAAGTCAAGACTCTCATTGACTTTAATGAAAGCTGGACGGTGTCCAAAAGTAATAATGACTCAGTCAACTGAAGTCAATGGAAGTTTTTGCTGAGTAAAAACTGATGGATTGAGATTGGTAATTATTTACCAAGTGAATAAGTCCCCAGTGAATGAAAAGATAATCTACAGAAGAAAAGAAGAAATACAGCTGTCAAATAATATGCTTGGCTTTATCAGGGAAATCACTCACATTTCTACTACACATAATACAATACAACCCTCTAAAATGTTAAAGGAACCACCTGTAATAAAAATATTTTACACAGTCAAGACAGTGTGTGTATTGCTGTTTTCTAGGATGTCAACACTAAAATATATGCAGTCATCATGACTTCAGTAGTATTATTACTTTCATGCATCTTGATTAATATAACGAGGATGCAAAACTATATGTATAATAATACTGAATTTATGATGACTCAGAAGTTATATCTCAAAAGTAAAATAAATGAAACTTGAACCTCTATACCACATCCTCCATATTTCACTGGTGATTTGACAAATCTCTGATTTGAAAATACATTCTTTCCATATCATATAGAATATCACAATAGCACTTTTTAAAATGAAAGTATATTTTGCATGTCCACTTTCATATACAAGGCAGTTTGAGGTAAATTCCTGAACTGATGAAATTAGAGTGTTACATTCTCCTTTAAGGATCTTTCATAAGTTGTAGTCAAAAATACCAAACATTAATATAGATTGAATGCTTTATACAAAAGTAATAATATAGGGCCTGATTCAAAACCCACTGAATTAATCTGACTTTGAGGGGCTTTTGGATCAAGCTTTTAGATGAAATTAGACTCTTTTGCAAACTGGCTGAAAAACTGGGGAAATAATTTTTTTATACCCTGAAGGAAAAAGTTAAAACAAAAACAAAACAAAAAACAACAAAAAACTTGTGTAAAGCTAAAGATACATTTTCCAACACAAACCTTTATCACTGTTATACACTGAAAGCCAGTCATACGTGCACATGGTCAGATAAGACTTCCACAGAAGTCAGTGAGAACTTTGCCTGAAAGAGTTCAAGAACTTTCATCTGTAGCTGAAGAAAAGTGTTCAAAACAGGAAAGAAAAAAAGATGATAATAATTTAAAGGATGCAGTCAGTCATTTTGCAATACTTTTGTCATTTAGGACCTGAGCCTGCAATCCCTTCCTTATTCAAGCAAATACTACACCTGGGAACAGTCCCAGTGGAGTAATAGGGCTGCTCACATGAATAATCACTACCACTGTGAGTAAGAGTTGTCAGACTAGGACATGAGGGATGGTGAAAAGAGAAAGTGTATTTTTCTTTATCTGCTATTCCTCTAGAAAAGTTTGAAAATGTTAACGGAGCTGATCCGGTAGCCTTGAATTCCTTGAATGGTTCTCTTTAAATCATTTAGCAGAAAGAGATGCAGGAATAAACCCTTTCCTCTTTATGTGTTGGTTATTGGGGGAAAAGGGGAGGGAATTTGTTTGTTGTTTTTTATGTATTTTTGGAATGGAGATGAAATGGGTATCACTGTTTTGGGCAACAAAATCAAGGTATATAATTCAAGGGCATGTCAAAACAGAACATTTTGGTGCATCAGCATTCCTATGATACCAGAATAGTTCTGGTACTAATATCTGGTAGCTAGTTGCTCCTGTAGAGCAGAAATTTCTCTCTCTCTCTCTCTCACACACACACACACCCTGCAGATAATGATGATCTCTAGGCGTATTGCCATCTTACCTGTCTGCACTCAGGGCGGTGAGAGTGAAGACGGACACGCCCACCGAGGTGAGCTGGATGGCAGGGATGAGTTTGCAGCCCACCTTTCCGAACATCCATTCCTCGAAGAGGTAGCGGGAGGCATCCACCGGCATGCAGGTCACCAGCAGCAAGAGGTCTCCGGCGGCCAGGCTGGAGATGAAGATATTGGGCACGCTTCTCATAGCGCTGTTGGAGATGAAGATCTTCACCAGGGTGATGTTGCCTAGCAAGCCCACAGTGATGATGAGCAGGTAAAGCGAGGGGATCACACAGCGGACGATAAACACCGCCGTGCCCCGGGAAGGGGGCAGGAGGTCTGTTTCCAGCAGCACCCCTGGCACCAAAGCATTGCTTACATTTCCTCCTGGGGGCTGCACGGTGAGGTTGAGGGAGAGCTCCCCAGCCATCCTCCCAGCTCCGGAGATACCAACTGCAACGGGAAAGAGCAAAATAATTTGTCTCTGAGTCAGCAAAGAAAATCTTGTTCTTTCTTTCTTCCAAGTTTTCTCCCACCAAAATCGCAAAGGAGGGATTGTCTGCGGACAAACACTGAAGAGTTAAAAGAGAGAGACCTTCAGTTGTGTCATTTCTCTACCCAAAGCCACTTCTTCGGGGTCAGAACAGTCTCTTGCACATTGGGAAGATGAGGGGAACTAAACGAGATCCAGAACGCAGCTTTCTGTTCTTAATCATCATCTTCAGGATGCTTCTGTTCTGAAGGGCGCATCCCGAAGTCCTTTCTCACAGCTGGTCAGATGGGAATAGTGATGGGACTCGCATAACTTCTAGCCGGGTCTTCACTGCTCTGGCAAGAGAAAAGACTGCAGCCCTCCAGGGTCTATGGACCTGTACAGCTCCTTCCACAGGCTTTGATGATCCCCAGCCTCTTCCTGTGCTGTGTTTCAGTCCCTTTCTGACAGAGCCCAGCTGATGGACTGGAGGCAGGCTGGGTCTTCTACTGCCTCAGTCCTTCCATTTTTACATTCGCCCAGCTCCGCCTTGCTGGGAGGAGCCACCAAACCCATTGGGTTGAATGCCTGAAGTTTGGTCCGTTGTGGTTGTGGAAGGAAGGAGCTCTTCATCTCCAGATGAAGGAACGTTTGGCTCGGACAACAGTAAAGAAGGCGATAGTGAGCACGCTCCACACCTGTCCTGCTCCGAATTACTATCATTTCCAGCTGGAGCCCAAGTCGGAGTGATAAACCAACCACCTAGGAATGCTGCTAACTAGATAGCTCTGCCTTTGGCCCAGAGAGCTACCCAGTCCGTGTTACTGACTCTAATGCCCATGCATCTAGCGGGCGGGGTGGTGTGGGGTGGAGCTGTCCAGCTTTTAGTGCTGAAAACACGTAGACTGTCCTTAGGAAAGAAAACCTTTTTAGTCCCGGACACTTTCCAGTGACTCTTGAAACTGACTAGCTTTAAAGGGGGGTGGGGGGCGGATGGACCTATATTCAAACATCTTATCCAACTGTGTTTGTTTTGTCGAGTTCAAAGAGCGTTTGGCCAACAGGCTAAGAATGTTTTGTTTTGAGTTTTTGGTTTGTAATAGTTCACCTAAAATTCGTCTGGATTAAGGAAATGGAAAAAGCTGAGATGTATCCGTGCTGTGATATGCCAGTGGCAAATCAATATATATTGTAAGTGATGGTTCGGTCTGTGTAGCATAGGGTCTCTCACCAGAGTGCCTTGCTCTTCCATTAACCAACATGCTTGACATCTTTGTTGAAACACGGTGGGTCGCTCGAAAATTCTTAAACTACAGTTTGGGGACGGGTGTGCGTCTGGATGTTTTTGTCATAAAAGACTCACATTTGGTTTCCTAATTGTACCCTACATTTTCAGCGGGATCCATTAGTTTAATGCGATGCACCTGTACAAATATCGTACAATGGAGAAACATCTAGGTGAGTGGAAGTTTTCAATGTGAAGAGCCGGATTATAGCAATGCAGTGAAACAGCGCTAGTTGCCATGAGTACTGTCTGGAAATTGTTTTCTATCTTTATTTTTTCTGAATGCTACCAAAAGGCATGGAACAAACGTGCACTGTTCATATTATTAAAACAATACCCATGGTATATTTGGCATACAGGATTAAAATATTATGGCATCTAGAAAAAACAAGATTAACGAATGAACACATGCAGAAAATGGTGAAGTGGCAATAGGAAACTAATATCGTAACAAAGTCTGTCACCTGTATGAGATAATACATATCCTGTCAACAGTGCATTATCCAGTAAAGAAACTGGAATTATAAGGGAAACTGGTTTATCTTTAATACATCTTTATATACATAAAGATAACCATACATACGTTTAACACACTATTGCTTCGCAAGCCTACCATCAATACATTAATTCCTGGGTTGTATTCCTGGCTCTGCCATTGATTGGCCTGCTGGGTGACCTTGGGCATGTCATTTCACCTCTATGTGCCTCAGTTTCTCCATCTGTAAAAAAGGGGAAATGATATCAACCCCCCTTGTAAAATGCTTTGAGATTTACTGGTAAAAAGTGCTATAACAGCTATGTTGTTGTTATTTTGTTACTGTTGTTTTTAAAAAATATAACATTTCTAATCTCCTGGAATATATAATTTATTACAGTATTGTAGATTATTGATTCATGTACTGCAGAGTACTATTTTACAGAACACAGTAGATTGTACCGGAAACAACCTGGGCTAGTATTCAGAAACATCTGACATCCAGACTACAAGTTTGCCACTAAGTGTTTGCTATAGAAGCTCACAGCTGTCATGTAACACATACATTTGTTTAGCTATTGGATTTATATTCACACTTCAGCAAATCAAATTGTGGTTCCTTTGAGATAACCTGGAACACATATTCTTGCCTTGAGTAGTTCTCTAAATTACTGGTTTATTATTGATAGAATAGACTTAATTGAGTTTATTTTAACTCTGTAAAGGTCATTGTTCACAATACAGATATTAAATTACCTTGAACGTTTTCTAACCATTATTCACTTTTCCTCCTGTTGTAAGGTGTCTACTGATTGAGAACGATAGACTGAATTAGTAAAAGTTAAATCTGTCTAACCCCCAAATGTATAAATGGCTTGCCTAGTGACTTTTTTGAGAATGCATTTTACTTGTGAACAATAAATATGCTTGATTTGGAGTGATGGTTTGTTATTGTTTATGTATTTCAATACAGATTTATGTGGGTGATCACATGTGACAATAAGAGAGAAGTTGGTCTTGGTTAGAAACTCATCGTGCCAGGGAATGGGGAAATTCGAAAACCTGAGTCGTCTTGAACCAGTCAAATCTGAAACGCCAACTGAGCATCAAAAGCAAAACATTTGAAAGGGCTTTTACTTGGTATTTTATCCTGCATTCGTGGTTTGTGTGCTAACTCCTGAAACTAGCCAAGCAGCCGCTAGCCTCTTGACTCAACTCGAGCGAGTCCACGGAAAATTGCCATTCTGACACTGATATATGAAAGAATTCTTATCCTGGCAAAGTGTAACATGTTCTTCAAATTGAAGGGTGAATTTTCAACAGCGTCTAGGTGATTTAAGAGCACAGGTCAATGCTCCTAAATCACATTGTTGCTTTTAAAAATCCCACCCTGAATCGGTGCCTTTGGAAATCCCCCTCTAAAAGTCCTGCTTTAATTCCTTTAAGTTTTACCTACATCACGTTTTCAAAACTCAGCACAGAAATTAATTATGGTCTGACATCTGTAAATTACACGTTGGAAACAGAATGATAGATCTTGCCTCCAGTGCCTTTCAAAGGATAAGCACATAGACCACAAAGAGCAAGAATCTACTGTCCTTGGCGAGGAGAAGGAGCAATCAAGGGATTCAGATCTTGATGTTCAAACTATCTAGCATTTACTGTTGAAATAAAGGCTTTAATCCATATCTTCTGATACTGTTGTTTATTTCAGATTACAGCCTACGGGCACACAAGAAAAAATTGATACGTTAGTTTCAGAGCAATGGAGCGAGGGAGAGGAGAGAGAGAGAGATTGCAACAAGTTAAGTAACTCCGGTGAGAAAGAAAGTAACTGTGGGCTGAAACTCACTTTTCATTCATAGGAGTATACATTGGAATTTAAAATCACGGTATGGCGGGCAGATTAATCTTTGAAAACACTTACTATGCTGTACGGCTCCCCAAAAGGGAAAAGGCAAATCGGCCCATTCATTAAGACAAAACGCCTTTTTACAGAACTGAATAACAAGTCGGCATGGGAATGAAGCTAATAGACTGGCCCCACACGTGTCTCAAGCGCCATCTACTGAGCACTGTTCAAAACAGGGAATAAATTCAGTTCCCATCTCTTTGTTTTGCTTAGTATTTCTGGAGCAGGTACTTGTGCATATCAGCGGATGTAGATCTGTAGTTGCTGTGACTAACTTAACATAGCTCCAAATCGTCGTTTCTGTCCAGCAAGTCTGACGGCAAACTCCACTCAAGGCACAGGTTCGCATAGGCGATTAAATCATAGAATCCCTTCCTGCTGCCAACCTTCCCGCTCCTTCCCCCGACCTCCCCCCTGACAACCATGTCAAAAACACACTGCTGCTCCCTCTCAGAAAATAAGTCAATATGACTCTCTGCCAACCTTTCAACCTACAAGGCAGGTTCCGTTAGGCAGGAGCCCATGTGGCTTATGACCAATCAAACCAGTTTGAAATTCAACAAAGTAACAAGAAAATGTGTCATAAATTCTCACAGCCATTCAACATGAAAAATAAATTTCACATTTTCACTGGTGAGGAGCAAATGTTCATAAAACTCCCTTTTCTTTTGTGTGTGTGTGTGTGTTTGTGATCTTGGAACAGGCAGATGTTGATGAACAAATGTCTGATAAAAATATCGAACTCATCTCTAATGACTGGCAGCCTGGTATCTTGTCATAGTTTGAGGTTTGTGTGAGCATAACCTGACTCTGTGGTAGACTTGACAACTGGAAATATGTGATAGAAATAAAGAAGTCTGTAGAATGTGTAATTTTGTTGAAATGAATATTTATCATGTTTCTCTCAGCTGCTGAGAGGTCAAAGATGTTACAAGTGGCATCATAAAAATGTAACAGGAACTTAGAGAGGCAAGAAAACTGAAGATTAATTAGCAGAGACGTCATCAGCCTTTAGAAAAATGCCACTAATACTTTCACTGGAATATAACTTTGGTCTTTTGTTTTTAATTTTCAGAACTGCCAAACTCTGCGACTCTCCTGTGTTCAGTAGTTCACCTAGCATTCATGGCTGGCTTTTCAAAAAGAGAAGTGCAATTACACAAGCGTAAAGGGTCAAACCCAGCCCCTCCCCGCACCCCACCTCCAACTATGAAATATATTGCAGTGTGGTCCTGCTACAGCAGATAGAGCAAAAAGTGTGTGTGTGGAGTGGGGTGAGGGTGGCAAGGGATAGAACACATGCAAAACTGGGGGGTTACTGTGAGTGGATCCTCCAGGTCTCTCCCTGCTAAGGGCTGCAAAAGGTACTGCAAAGGCTACTCTGGTCCCTGGACTGGAGTAACCTCTGTGTAATACAGCTCAATAGCCTTTTAATGTGACTGATGCTAGCCTGGGTACCTGAGCTGTGCGTTAGGATCTAGCTTTGAGCTGAAACACATGTGAAAAGCATATCCATGGTTGTGTGCTCTCTTACTAGAGTGTCATTTTCAAATGGCTAATTATAGGCCTATTTATCCTTCTGCATGACTTGTGCATGCAGTTGTAGTGCTAGTGTGAATTTGTAGGCCTATACTTCTGGAAAATGTTATATTTCCATGTTGGGTATATGTGACACAGTGGCCCATCAGCGGCTCACTACCCTATGTCAGCACCTCTTGTCAGGCCTGGCCTACCCACTACACCTAACACATTGTTGTCATAATCTGTATTTAAAAGGTGTCATATAAGATATCTTTGGAAAACTTAACTCTGATCATTAATATTCTT